TTTTGAATGCTTAAGTATTCCAATATACTACCAATTAAACATGGAACAATTTCAAAATAATGCTTAATAACAAAGTTGAAATTCGATCTTCAACTGTTAACATCTTCTAGAAATTTTCAATATTTTTCTCGTACTCTTCAAGTGAGCCTCTATCACCCCTTAAAAGGAATGACGCCGATTTTGAATCATCCTGTATGGAGGTGTACCTTCAACATAAAAGATTTCTCTATATTCATAGCAAAGATTGCGAAATGCTTGATATATTTCTTTATTGCCATGTTTTTGCCGTAGAATCTTAAGATTTTTCTCTTGTTTCTTATCAAGATCTTGATATTTGAATTAAATGTGTTCTTCTGGTTGATCAATAAAATAAACTTAATTTTCGTTGATTAGTTCAACATTCAGTGGTTCTGTTATTGTTATTAAAATTGGACTCTTTCGCGTTTTTGTAATAACTGTATTGACATATGAATTTGTTATTTCGACAAGACATTCTGGCATTTCGGCACCGTGAAAGTCGATATAATTAATATACCTATACCATCCGATTGGCAGGTATTTTGACTTTTTAGGCAGCACGAGGTTGTATTACAATTTTATTTCGTGAAAAGTCTAATTGTTTTGGTTTTCCATCTACAACTGGAATGTTTTCATGTTCTAAACACAAGGGCCAGATTGTTGTATTTCTTTCCAGAGTTAATTCGTTCAAATTTATTTTTACGCCTATTTTCAGTAAAAGTAAAGAATACTTGAAAAAATAGAATTTATGATGGTGATTTGTTTCAAATGACGGGAACGTTGGAATATCAATAACTTCATTATGTATGGAAGTTGCATGTGCAGTTTTTACTGACAAATATTCGTTGAAAATAAATTCTGGGTATAGATAATTTGCTAGTTCTGGTTTAATAAAACTTTTACCGCTACCTGTATCTATTAAAAAGTTTGCTTTTAATTCTGGAATGTAAACAACAGTGAAATATGAATGATTGTAGTAATTCAGATTTAAATTATTTGGGTTTGTTGCTGAGACAGTTCTTTCGAGGAAGCTTTTCATTTTGTGGAAGATCCGGTTTTTCCCATCCAAAACATGGAAGTACAGCACTTGTACAATTGAAGGGAGGAAAACGAAACAGAAGTACCTACAAATATGTATGTTCTATAGAGAATATTGCTGATCAGGAAGTGGAAGTAGTAAGACTAAAATCTATAGATTACTCAACGGAGAACTGTGCGGTTCAGGTAAGTTCAAAGTTTTGTTGTAGAAAACCAGATACTAGGGGTATTGCCACTTCCCACAATTAAAGAGAAAGGAGGAAGAATTTATTGTAATTTTGAAAAGGTAGTTCCAGTGTCGGTATATTAATGTTTACTTTATTATTTAAGAAATAGTTTGATTTATATTTTTAATCTTTTCGTAAGGGTTTACGATTCACGAGTTTCTATGTTTGAATAAAAAAATAAAATCGAAACAAAACATGCTGTTTTTAGTTATTTCCGGGTAAATGCAAACATGAATCTAAATTAATTATATGTTATATGCATTTAAAAGACATCAAATATTTACATTTACCTCGTTACTGTTATTTTACAATACAGTGCGCGACACTTGATTACTCCCACCTAATAATTTTGACTAGTTTTGACTAATGCTAAAAATTTTCATTAGTAAGCTACATCAAACACTAGATTAAAGATTTTAACAATGTTTATTTAATAATTTGTTTTACACTTTCGTATTCTACAATTGATTTTTATTTGTAAAGCAAATATTGTAATTTTTAATGAGACACTTGATTACTCTCATATTTCGGAATGAACCAAGAACACAACATTTAAAGCTAATACTCATTTTAATATTTGCTATACCCTCCCTGCTTCTCAATGACTGCTAACATTCGATGAGGCAATGAATTGAATACCTTTTCTACTAGATTCCCTGGAATTTCGTCCCAGGCGGCTCTAACAGCGGTTATTAATTCTTCTCTATTATTAAAGTGCCTTCCTTCAGTATAAACGCGTTAGAACAACCAACCCCATAAGTTTTCTATGATATTTAAGTCTGGGAAAATAGCAGGTCACTCCAGAACTGAAATATTATTAGCAGTCATCCAGGTTCGGATTATTTGAACCGGTGTGTGAACTGGCGCATTGTCTTGTTGCAATATTCATTCTTGATCCGGAAATAAAGCTGTTATGTTAGCAATTTGCAGTTGCAGCAGCTCCAAATGCTTTTGAGCAGTTTGCCGACCTTTTAGAAACTCGATCCCAACTCTGCTTTGCCTTGAAATTGCTGCCTAAATCATCTCAGATTAAACAGATGCATTTGTTTACGTTTTTCTATGGGAGCAACATTGGTT